CTTCAAATCCTATCAAGAGACATTACACTCGTTCATGCATCTCTCGGAGCACATATTAACTATTTTTCTAGTTGAATGCACTTTAACATGTGTGCAATAGCAGACTTTCGATAGAGTTGGCCATCTAGGAGATAATACATAATCATCCTTCATATCAAATGAATGGCCTTTATCCTATCCATGAGGAGTTTTTTGGGTATTGTTCAATAGAAGTTCGCCAATACTCTTTTGGGGGTGATTGTGATATATATCCTATTACAAGCTCAACGTGCTCTTGGATGCTAGGTTCTTCAAAAACTTCTATCCACACGTTAAAGGAGCATTATGTGAGGTTACTACTAGCTAGTTTAGATAAATTATCAACCTAGGAGTTTTCACTTAGGTATATAATACATATTAATCATCCTACCTTTTGCCTTTACTTCCTTTACTTGTTTTAGGCATTTCATCACAAAATGTTGGTAATTAACCATTAAAGACCTTTTTTCCCTTCCTCTTAAGGTTTGGTCATAAGGTTGTCTGTTATGGGGGGGGGGAGAGAACAATTCAATTGGCAGCTAGAGTCTTTGTGATGACATTCTCTCGTAAAAAATTTCATCCTCTCCCACTTGTACTAAGGAGAAAATGGATTATGTGCCTCAAGTTTAGATCATTGAGGATGATACACCATTAGAGGTATCAACACATTCATATGTACTTGGGTTGCCTAGAGTATACTTCACAACTTTTGGTTGGTTTGTTGTAGTTGAGCAACATCCATAAGTTAAGGATCGAGACTAGCAAAAATTTAAAAGGATAGTATGACCAAAAATTTTTAGTTGTTCCGTTATACGTAAGCTTGGAGATGATCTAAAGAACAAACAAAAAGCTATAAGGAAACCGCTTTTTACTCGAGTCCCTCGTACCATGCCAACCGATGAGTCATGGAAGACTCATTTAGTAAAATAGGAAAACATAGTTCATAAATGCGAGCTCGAGAGGAATGTTAGATGGTGTACATCTACAAAACAAGTTCCTTCGAGTTGGGTGAGAAATCCTCCAACGATCAAGTTAGTAGTTGAAATGTGGCGAAATGGCCTTAGAAGGCTCTTTGAAGAAAATGTTTTATATGTAAATAGTTTCATATATGAGGGAATTGTTCATGGATTGAAACCCGAAACTATTAGTGGTTTGAACTTTTATTCAAGCAATCATGAGTGTAACTTGCGTGGTAGAAATGACATAATTGTCCTTTTTTTGTGCGAGTGGTTGAGCCGACTGACTAATGATGAGCTGCCATCATTCCATCCAATCTACAACGATGTTAATGTTATTATAATGAGTATGTAATTATTGACATGTTTCTCATTTATTCCGGAGCTTATTATATACAGCTATATAAGTATTCCTATTTTAGATTAAAACAATGGTATGAAATGAAATAAACCGACATTAATGTTTTTGTTTTTTAAAAGATTTAGAATTCGAATCTCATTTTTATAATAAAAATAAAATTAAAACATGGTAATTTATATATGTTTCTTAGTCCGTATTCATTGAAGAGGAAAAAGCTAATTGAGCAATAAATTACTGATGGTATGGGATCTGAATTAAGTATTCCATCTTCCAGCTTAGGTGCCACCTCGTGGCCTCGTCCCCACACACGAAATATACAGTTGAGAAGTTACAAACAGTAGACTTGTTTTGGAGATACACTGTCGATATGTTTGTTCATGTTCTCCCTCCCTGTAGCTTTTGTCTTCCTTCCGATGAGTAGTTCACAGTGCAAAATTATGATTTTTTATTTATTTATTCGATATTGAGAGCACTGTATATATATGTGGGGATTCTAATTAACAAATTCAAGGAATATTTACTGTTCCCAGTACAACTATTATAAGTCTTTGGTTTTTATATGCATATATACAGATCGACAGAATCATTTGACTTATCATCTGCGTCTTAATATTATTACTGTTAAACTACAACTGCTTTTGTAATATTATCAGTATTGTCTCCATCATTTTACTAGTTCTTGGCATCTTCATTATATTTCTTTTTTTGGGACATATGGACTTATACAGCCATACATTGCTTTCACATTAGATGCATACCAATAAACATTTCTCTTCTTTGCACTTTATTCAACGTACTGATCTCAATCTCATATTACAAACGCAATGCTACCTCTTCCTAATTCAGGTTCTAACTTTTGCATAGAAATAAAGTTTTGCTCCAATTGATGGTGCCTTTTGTGACCACTCCTTGTGATTTAAAATTAAATGATAAACACACTCACTTACGTTAATTAATATTTACATATGGTAACATTAGTACCTAAGCATAAATATGTATAGTTTAACCGTTCTGTATTCATTAACTTTACCTAATGAAGTAAGTTTTAGTACTGATAATTTAAATTTATTTAGTTATTATATAATAAAAAAGCTCAACTCTCATTATGTAACACAAAATCTAACCAACCTTTTTTATAAACATAAAAAAACATATACATGTGAACATAAATATGTATAGTTTAATCGTTTTATATTCGTTAATTTTATTCAAGTATAGCAAGTCTTAGTATTGGTGATTTAAATTTATTTAGTTATTATATAATAAGAAAACTCAATTCTCATTACATAATACAAAATTTAGCCAGTTTTTCGATAAAATAATAATATAAATAAAATCTATATATGATATGAGTGCAGAACTTGTCATTAGTGTGTCGTGAAAAAACAGTAAACAACTCTCTTCTAGCAAAGAGGCGAACAAGTGTGTGTTGTGCAGCAGTCGAGGGGTAAAACTTGAAAATCGAATCCATGTATTTTAATTTGATATAGCTATTTTTAATTTCGATTTATATTAAAATGAATTTAATTTCTGTTGAATATTTGTTTTCATTTTAGTTTTTAACAAGACCTTTTCAACATTTTTTTTATTTTAATGATTTTAACAATTTTTAGTTTTATTTTGGGGTTAATATTAGGGTTTTAAAGTTCCATATTACTTCTTATGCATAGGTGTCCAGTAGTATTTGCTCATTTTCTTTTCTTTTGTTTTATTTATTTATTTATTATATATATATATATATAGGACTAGTAAAAACGGTCTGGTTCCAGACCAAAATATTTGGAACTTAATTAAATTTAGTTTTTTATTCTAAAAAAGTTTTTATAATGCAGATCAGTTTTTTTTTTTTCTTTCTTTTTTATATCTTGATAAAATAGTCCCAACAACTTCCTTCCTGCTGCTATATAAGCTTTTTTAGTAAAGATATTTTCGAATTAACTTGTTCATTAATTCATACTATTATCTTTTTAGACAATCTTAAGGGTACAACCTCCATATTTCTCTAATGTATTCAAAGAAATTTAACAAATTTCACAAGTATTAACTTTAAAGTTTAAATTCAAAAAATCAAAAAAAGAAAACAAATTTTCTTAACCAATAGAGCAACTCTTTAGAGACTCGTATAATCATTGTTAAAAAAAAAAAAAAAAAAATCATCAAAAAAATTAGATTAAATGCGCCAAACCTCCCTTAAACTTTAATTCGTTTGAATATCAATATTTGAACTTGTAATTTCAAGTTTGATCTCCTTTGATTTTTTTTTTTTTTTTTTTTGGGATTTAGTCTATTTTATGATTTTTAACTATTGCTTTCGCTCTAAAAAATTCAATTTTTGGTATTTTGAGTTGATATTTTTCATACACATTGGGAAAAATCCAATCAATTTTCTAGCAAAATCTCAAAATTTTCCTAGATTGAACCGTATATATTTTTATTTTCTAAAAATTAAAATAAAAAAATGAAAAAAATAACAAATAATCTAGAATGGTTTCAAATTTTTTTTATGAGCGTTAGATAAATCTTACTTAATGATTATCTTTATAGACTACTTATATGACTGTTATTTTTGATAAAAATAAAAAACAAAAAAAAAAAAAACTAGACTAAATCTAAAAAAAAATTTTAAAAAGAAGGTCAAATCTAAACATAATCGCTTAGATACTGATATTTAAATATAATAAAATCCAGATAATATTTTTTACCAATTTAGCCAATTTTATAAAAGCAATTAATGTTTCGTTTCCATATTCTGCTGGGTGCATATAAACTGCTGCTGCGGCCCAGTGTTATAATCTATTGGAAATGGGCCTTATGCATCTCATGGGGGACATATTTTAGCACCGATCCGATCGCAAACTTGATCATCAATTGTATTGATGCAGGAGGTCCCATGCCGGAAAAGATCCAGCCCATTTAAATGGAAACGGCACCGTTTGAACTTCAACATCAATTCAAAAAATCAAACAAAACTTTATATTTTCGTTACTGCAAATAAAATATGGAAAACAGCCAACAAATTGGTGGTGGTAAACGAGCTTGTTTCCGCAATTTTTTTTTATCAGTATTTGAATTTTAAAATTATATTTGTTAAGAAAAATTAAAATTTTATTATTTTGTTTCGAATATAATTATTTTTATTTTTAAAAATACTTGGATAAAACCAATCATTACATTTTCACACCAATACATATAGGAAGGAGTCCAATAAAAGCTTAAGATACTTCTGTAAACAAGACAAATCAAAGATAGATACGTCACTTCTCTGAAAAGCTAGTGACGAAACTTCCACAGACTTTCATATTAAATGAGTATTCTCTGAAAAGCAAGTGACGAAACTTCCACAGACTTTCATATTAAACGAGTATTCTCTGTATTACTTTCATATTAAACGAGTATTCTCTGTATTTTCCAAACCAACCTCTTGAGGGTCTCTGCCTCCCCTTTATTCCTAAAACCATCATGATCTACGGATATATATTAATTAATGACATTCTAATCTCTATTATTATGTTTAGAAATGGATGATGAGAGCTGCCTTCTCTGTTGTTTGACCTCCGGTTGGATAAAAAAATCTTAAACTAAACTCAATTATTGGACATAGACCTGTCAATGAAGTAGAAAATTGAGAACGACGTTAGTCTTATTTTCTCTAATGGATAATACCAATGAATCATAAGATGCCTTGGAATTTGGCTCAAGGTCTTTGGCTCTCCTCTGTTTTTTGTTTTTTTAATGGATGCTTTAAGCTTAAAGTATTAACTGATGACTTTTTTTAATCATTATTAATTCATGACAACACTTAAACCCATCAGTGACCTTCTTCTTATTATGATCGCCAAATCAGAAGAAAAGAAACTCAGTTTTTGATCTTTCTCAGTAAAAAGAAAAAGAGAAAAAAAAAAAAAAAAAGCAGAGACTCAATTTTGATCAAGACGAGGAGTCCCTGCCTGGTCTACAGCATTTGAAAGGTTCTTGAACTGTCAAATAATTTGGTAATGATCACCGTGCTCCTTCTCCGAGCTTCACTTTTTTAACTACTTGATAATTGATACTGTATCACATTTTTGACAGGGCAGTATAATTGGTTTGGCTTATTGTTTGCAATTTTCTCAGGTTCCCACAGGGACTGGACCAATCATGGAGATTCTTGCAGCTTTCTTTGTTGGGTTATGTTGTGTTTTGCTAAGCAATGGAATTGAAGTTGAAGCCTTACATAATGGATGCCAGAATTTTCAGTCTCACACGGTTATGTTACAAGAAAAGCAGCCTTATAGAACCTCCTTTCACTTCCAACCACCAGAAAATTGGCTTAATGGTATGAATAGTTACTCTTCTTTTTTTCTTGTCAGTATAATCTTTGACTGTGATCCCTTCCTTCTTTCTATATGTGTCTCTTCTGAATATTTTTGATGGTTTTTAATCTTTGTTATTACCATGGTGCATGCACTGGTTGCTGATGAATAAATGATGGATTCGATCACACCAGACCCTAATGGTAAGTAATCCATGTTCCCTCTTTTCATTCTCTAGCTCCTCATGGATGTTTCGATAGCACAAGAAACTGCTCATTTCAATTTTTGAGAAAAGTTGAAAAAAAAAATTCCATTTTTTGTATTGATAACAGGATTAGAATGTCATTCTTTGGTTCTTGTAAGGTTTACTAATGATCATGCAGCAAATTACTGATCTTCTGTCATGCGCCATTCAATTATTCAATCTATTTCCGAAGTAGGCCTGGGATTTTGGTCTCAACTGGGGTGTTAGGGTTTATGCTTTACTGCTAGTGAAACAAGTTCTAATTGTGTTATGACATTGATCAATGTGATGCAGGGCCAATGTGGTACAAGGGAGTTTATCATTTATTCTACCAATACAATCCATATGGTGCGTTGTTTGGTGATATTATGATATGGGCACATTCTGTATCACATGATCTCATCAATTGGATTCATCTCAATCATGCCCTTTGCCCAACGGAACCATATGACATCAACAGTTGTTGGTCTGGTTCTGCTACAATCCTTCCTGGGAAGGGACCTGTAATTTTATACACTGGAATTGATTCTAACCATCGACAGGTTCAGAATATGGCAGTGCCAAAGAATTTGTCTGATCCATTACCTGAAGAATGGACAAAATTTCCACAAAATCCTATCATGACTCCTCCTGATGGTGTTGAAGGGAACAATTTTAGAGATCCTACAACAGCTTGGTTGAGTCCTGATGGAAAATGGAGTGTGATCATTGGAAGCTGGAGCAATAATCAAGGAATGGCAATTCTGTATCGAAGTGAAGATTTTGTTAATTGGACCAAGTACCAAGATCCTCTTTATTCAACAGAAAGAACTGGGATGTGGGAGTGCCCAGACTTTTATCCTGTGTCTGTTAATAGCACAAATGGGGCAGACACTTCAGTCCTCGGTGCAGGTTTTAAACATGTGATGAAGGCAAGCTTCAATTCCCATGATTATTACCTGATTGGTACTTATGCCCCAGGGATGCAAAAATATATTCCTGATAATGACTTCACCAGTACCAGTAAGGACTTGAGGTATGACTACGGCAAATTTTATGCTTCAAAGACATTCTTTGACATTGACAAGAATAGAAGAATTTTATGGGGTTGGGTAAATGAATCTGATAGCATAGAAGATGACACGGACAAAGGATGGTCTGGACTTCAGGTGAGTTGAGTTTAAGTGAAGACATGCTGACCTTGTTTTATATCTTAGGCTCTGAAAATTTTTTGAGCTCTGGCTTAGTTCAAATTGATCTGGTTTTGTGCTGGATTATAAATGTAATAAGATGAGGTGAACTTTTCTGTTCCAACATCGATGAACTAAATGGTCTCCGGACTCTTCCTTGCAGTCATTTCCTAGGCACATTTGGCTGGACAGAAGTGGAAAGCAATTAGTGCAGTGGCCCATAGAGGAAATCAACAAACTACATGGCAAGAAAGTTGGCTTCCTTCATAAGAAACTTGATAGTGGATCAGTATTTGAAGTTCAAGGCATTACTGCTTCACAGGTGAGTAGTTGATAGCAGAGAAAAGTACTATTTGAATTGAAATGTCGTCTCATGATTAAGTTGCATTTCCTTCCAAGTTATTCTTTTTCTGTCACTGTATATCAGATTGAAGTTGTTTGCGATGATAAAACTCGTGATTCGTGACTATTTCCTCGTTTCTTAAAAGGTAGATGTTGAGGTTGTTTTTGAATTGCCAGAATTGCAAGAGGCTGAGTTCTTGAACCCTACTGGAGTTGATCCCCAACTACTTTGTACTGATGCAAATGCATCAGTCAAAGGCAAATTTGGGCCATTTGGTTTGTTAGCCTTAGCAACGAAGGACTTGACAGAGCACACTGCGATTTTCTTTCGGATATTTAAAGGCCTGAAAGGATATGTAATCCTCATGTGCAGTGATCAGAGCAGGTTTGCCCTTCCCATTTCCCTAATGTAGAACAAGCCCAAATATCAAATAATTTGAACTAATAATGCACTTAATATCTGGTAACAGATCTACTCTACGAGATGAGGTTGATAAAACCACATACGGAGCTTTCGTGGATATCGATCCTCGGCGTGAAAAGATTTCATTAAGAAGCTTGGTGTGTTAATTAACTAGTAAAATTGTTTTTGTTAGGAATCAGCATTCAATTCCAGTTTCCATTTTGGTTCAACACACACTTGTGCAATGCTGTGCAGATTGATCACTCCATTATCGAGAGTTTCGGTGGGGAAGGGAAGGCTTGTATCACCAGCAGAGTTTATCCTAAGTTGGCTGTTCACGAAGAAGCTCACCTGGTTATATTTAACAATGGAACTCTGAGTGTAACGATCTCAAGTCTGAATGCTTGGAGCATGAACAAAGCCCAAATCAAGCACAAAGAAAACTTCATTGGCAAGGCATCACATTAGAATTTAATTAAAGGAAAGAGAGTCGCATGAACTCTGCAGTCTGCTTCAGTGACTGATGTCTTTGAGTCCAATAAATGTAATAAGATCTATAATCTATTGGCCTGTATGTTGTCTTAACACCCAATGAGTTTGTTGATCTACCATCAAATCGATCTGGTTCTTTTTCTCTTTGATTTAAGAAGTCTTTCTTAATGTTTATTATTGCTTTTTTCTTTTTTTCTCACCGCTACTGGACGTTTATTTCCTTTTACATGCTTAGTATGTAAACTTCTTATTTTTCTCTATTTGAATGTGTGAGGTTTTAAATTGTTTTTAATCAAGTGTTTTTATTAGCTAGATTCATGATGCCGTAATCGTTAAATTGACACATTCGCCACGTGAGTATGAACATTTCACTTTATTCTATTTTTCTCTATTTGAGTATACGTATTTTTATTTTTTCTATTTAAGTATTTGGACATTTCATTTTTTTTTTAATGAGTGGTATTAATTTAATTTGAAATCTAATAAATATCCACTTTGCAATCTTATGTAAATATTTTGACCAAGTTCACTAAAATTAAAACAACAAAACATATACAAATTTATGCAATTTAAAAGAACATAATAATAAAAACTTAAAAATAATAAAACAAATCTGTATTGGTCGTAAATCGACTAGGTAGAAAATAAAAAATACATAAACCAATAAAATAACTATAAAAATTGTTGGGTTTGATAGAGATTTGTATGGAAATATATGGATGCATGAGAGATCTCTTACTGAGAAATTGGAATATATAAAAATTTTTATTAAAAAAAATCAACTCTGTTGTATGATGATTTTTCTAATATGTTTACTGTTAAAATTAGTTGTGAGAATTTGTTTGATTTGCTAGAAAGTAGAGAAAATTGAATGATCTGATTTTTTTTTTTCATATATTACCTTTTTATATAGATTTAATAGATTGTTATTATTGTTTGTTGTTTTAATTTTTAATTTTATTTAACTTTCTCAATATATGACTTACATAAGATTGTAAAGTAGGTATTAGTTAAATTTCAAAACTAATAGCAATCATTAATAAATTTTTAAATATACATACATTCAAATAAAAAAAATAAAAGTACTTAAATAGAAAAAAAAAAGTAAAAATATATATACTCAAAGAGAAAAAAAGTATTAAAAATAAAATAGAATTTTCATGTTCATGTGGGGAAGGTATTAGCATGTTGATATAAATCTAATAGAAACACTTGACTAGAAAAAAAAATTATAATACTCTCAACAGAAAAAAATTAAAAAATTCTTACACCAAAAATTTTATAATCTCTTTATTGCAATTTAGCGTCCTACACGTAGAGTGCAGTATTATATAATTACTGTATATACATTTTTTTTTTTTTGTATACACAACAAAATTTGATGTATGCTTGTATTATATTTATATACTAAGTTACAAAAGATTTTCATATCCCTATGCATCTTTTACGCCAAGTTCAACCGTGAAAACCCATTTTATTACAGGGAAGGTTTCATAACGTCTCAAATCTCTAACTCTTAGCAATTTTTTAGAGCATTTGAATTAGACTGATGTATTCCTGGAATCTTATCCTCCACATACAGGCACAAATAGCTAATTGTTTTAAAAATGCAAGTTGAAGGCTCAATTTACTTCATAGAAACAAAAGGAGAAAACTCTTAGCGTCCCATTGGACTGGAACTAAGCTGTTGACTTTAAAACCTTGAATGGAGATATCTGCTTTTTGGGTGGTTGGAATCTGCTTCTTGTTGGTTGACCATGGAGTTCACGCCTCGCATAACACTAACAGAAACCTTCAGGCAACATACCAGCCATACAGAACTGCCTATCACTTCCAACCTCCTAAAAACTGGATGAATGGTATGCCTTCTCATAGCTTTCATTTTATGAGTGTTCCTTTCTATATTCTTTATGCCATTTCCTAATCTCTGGTCTCTTCTTCTGTTGCTTCTTTTTTATTGCGTCATTTGGCATGTTGTAACTGGAAATTGGGCACTGCAGATCCTAATGGTAAGCTCTCTCAGTTACCCTCATCCTCCTGTTTTTCCTTATGTGGTTCAAATCTTTTTGCCTCCTTTGCTCTTTATCCAGATTTATGCTTTTAATTATATTAAAAAATGTAATGGGATAGATAAAACCAACGCTTTTCATCAGAATGTCCATTCCTGACCTCATACTGGCATAGGAAGCTCTCTAGTTAAGTAAGAACATACCTTGCTTGCTTCTTGTTTGTGTTTTCTTGGGAGTTATTTGTTATGTAGTTTATTATTGTGTGGCATACCGCAGTGATAGAGAACTGACATTATGAATTCCAGCCAAACTTTGTAGACAAAATATATATACATTATGATCTAATTATGATTTATGAATAACAGGACCAATGTACCATAAGGGATTATACCATCTGTTCTATCAGTATAATCCGTATGGAGCAGTATGGGGTAACATTACATGGGCTCATTCAGTATCATATGACCTTGTCAATTGGGTTCATATTGATCATGCAATTTCTCCATCGCAGCCCTCTGACATCAATGGTTGCTGGTCCGGCTCCACCACAATCCTTCCTGGGGAAAAACCGACGATTCTATACACTGGAATCGGCACTAAAAATCGTCAGGTTCAGAACCTGGCAATGCCTAAGAACCTGTCTGACCCTCTTCTGCGGGAATGGATAAAATCACCTTATAATCCCTTAATGACTCCTATTGATGGCATTGACCCGGATTTTTTTAGAGACCCAACAACTGCTTGGCAAGGCCCTGACAAGATTTGGCGAGTTATCGTTGGAAGTCAGATTAATGGTCATGGAACAGCAATTTTATATCGAAGCAAGGATTTTGTTAACTGGACTAGAAGTGACAATCCACTTCACTCCTCAGTAAAAACTGAGATGTGGGAGTGTCCGGATTTCTTTCCTGTCGGTATTAGCAGCACAAACGGAGTTGACACCTCTTCCCAAGATAAATATACCAAGCATGTACTTAAAGCAAGCTTCAATCATCATGACTACTACATATTGGGAAGTTATATGCCTGAAAAGGACAAATTTTCAGTCGAAACTGACTTCATGGACAGTACGGGTATGGATTTGCGGTATGATTATGGCAAATTTTATGCTTCAAAGACATTTTTCGACAGCGCTATGAAGAGGAGAATTTTGTGGGGATGGATAAATGAGTCTGATAGTGAATCAGATGACATCAAGAAAGGCTGGTCTGGACTTCAGGTAATGTCAAGCTTAACACTATATTAACCTGTAGGCTGTAGAATCCGGCTAGAATTTTGTTCAAATGTGCTTTAATAAAAGAGAATATTTACAGAAAAAGAAGATTAATCAACATCCTTGTTTCCTGGTAGAAATGAACTCATGTCATAGAACTCCCAGTCTTGCATGCAAGAGATTTTTGAAGATAATATTAATAATGTGTGCATTTTGATATCAGTCAATTCCTAGAACTGTTCTCCTCAGTAAAACTGGAAAGCAATTAGTAGAGTGGCCGATTAAAGAAATCGAGAAACTACGGTCCAAGAACTGTGAGTTTCCATGCTAAGAAGCTTAAGTCTGGATCAACAATTGAGGTCCCTGGAATAACAGCTTCTCAGGTAATTACGAAGTTCGAGTCTGAACACTGGCTATGCTTAATTACACCATACGGTCACTCATAGATGAAATAGTGACCCTTCGTTTTCTCGTTTTCCTGTTGAAGGCTGATGTAGAAGTTTCATTTGAGTTGCTCAATTTAGAAGAAGCAGAGTTAATGGACCCAAGCTGGACTGATCCCCAGCTGCTTTGCAGTCAAAAGAAAGCTTCTGTTAGAGGCAAGCTCGGGCCATTTGGTTTGTTGGTTTTTGCCACCAAGGACTTAACAGAGCAAACTGCAATCTACTTCAGAATATTTAGAAGGAAGGACAAATATATTGTGCTAATGTGCAGTGATCAAAGCAGGTTAGCCATTACTTGTTTACAGGGAAGCTATATATCATTCCAGTTTTTTCTTGAAACTAAGTTGCCATGACCCTCAACTTTAAACTTAAATCTTAACAGGTCTTCTGTAAGAGAAGGGCTTGACAAAACCACATATGGAGCTTTCATTGACATGGATCCTCGTCATGAGAATATTACATTGAGAAGCTTGGTATGCTAAGTTGCAGAAATGCTCATCAGTTATGTCACAAAACCAAATATTTTGGTTGAGTTTTGTTGATTTGATTCCGTTCTTTATTCTTTTGCAGATTGACCACTCAATAGTTGAGAGTTTTGGTGGTGAAGGGAGGGCTTGCATCACTGCTAGAGTTTATCCAAAGTTGGCAATTCATAAGCAAGCATACCTATTTGCATTCAACCATGGTACATCCCATGTCAAAATCTCAAGGCTTAATGCTTGGACCATGGAGAATGCTCAAATTGTTTCTACCAAGAAACGAAGGAAGCCACACGTTTAGTTTAAAGAGTTATTGTTGTAAACGAAACAACAACAGGAACCTAATTGTGAACAAAAAGTAATTCATATTTGGATAATAATCTGAGTGACAATGCCCTGTTTCTGGTAATAAATGTCCTGGCTTCAATTTCATAATTAGATTATTATAAATTTGATGTCTGAACCTTTTGATTTTTTCTATTTTAGTGTCTATAGTGTGCAAACATTTAAATTTTTTCTAATCAAATATTTCAATTAGATTCCATTAAATACGTGCTGATGTTGTGGTCGAATTGAGACGCTAGCATGTTAACGAGCATACCAAGTGTACACGAATGTTCCACTTTTTTCCCAACATGAGTGTTTTTTCATTTATTTTTATATTTAAGCATATCTACTTTTATTTTGGTTACTTAAATTTCTATACTTTCAAAAATTTATAATTGAGTGCTACTAATTTTAAAAGCTAATAAATGTTCTCTTTGTATTATTACCTTGTCATATTTGATTGAGTTAAATAAAATTAAAAATTAAAAAAATAAATATTTTTTTCTCTGTTTTGTTTTCCTTTTTAGGATGTTAACAGTTTATTCTATTTTTAAAAAAAATGTTTACTCTTTGAAATAAGGTTTTACCCTTCGATTGCTAGTTTGTGATATTGTCTCTCAATCTTAAAAGAGATTTAACGCTCTTTGGCAATTTTGGATGGCTGAATCTTCCATCGATGTCATTGAAGTCTAGTTTAGTGCAATTCATTTCTTATTTGATTTATGGTTTGCTAAATTTAACTGCATATGTGATATGCAAAAAGAAAAAAAAATCTCATTTGAACTAGCCATCATCAAGAAGCTAATAACATTCATGAATATACTTGATGAGGTCATAGATATGTAGTTGTATGAATGGTTGGATTGGCTTTTTTGTTTGGTTTATCATGCAGTGATGATGTATTGTTGTCGTGAGATTTTAGTGAAACCATTTGCAAAACAAAGTCTTCTTTTTGGGTTTTTGAAGATCCTTTAATGACTAAATTAATGTACAGAGAAAAACAAGTATAGTCTTAATAAGTTTAATAGTATACCTTTATATGGTTGTTTGAATAGGCTTGTGGTGAGTTATTTATCTGTACAAAATAGAGAAGATATATAGTGATTGTTTGGCTTGCTATTGCATTTTTAATGTCTCTTAACTTAGCCATGGGCTTGTCGGTTTTTCTTTGCATCTTTGGTTGTTTAACTTTCTCTTATGTCTAGGTTTCTTTCTTTTATAGTAGGTGCCAAAACCAGCTTGCATAAAGATTAAAGATGTATTCATCCTTTTCATAAAGTATATAATGACTCCTGATAAGTGTGTGGCAATCCTCTTAAGAAAATGTTTTTATTGCAGTAAATTGTATTATTTTAGAAATTAACGTGTGGAGCGATGTTTTTTATTTAATACTTATCCTTTGTGTCTTTTCCTACTAGATGGATGAATTGAACTTAAAAGTTGATGATGAGGTGGGAATGGGTGAATCCTCGTTTGTAACAGCTCTTCGTTATACAAAATCTTGTATAGTTACATTTGTAGCAAGTGAATTTCATTTTTCTAAATAAATGAAAAACACATGTCGAGTATATTTTTTTCAATATTAATATATCAATAAAATCATAATTTCCCATTATTGTAAAAGAATTTTGTCATATTGCATAAAGTTTGGGATTTAATCGAAGGTTCAATAATTTGAAAAGAAAAAAGTAAAAACCCACAATGACCTTGTAATGCAAACTGTGGTGTTGTACGGAACAAATGAATGACTTGCAGAAGTTCACCAGCACATGTCAAACCATCAAATAGCATCAGCATGGTATCGTAGTAGCGGCACTGTAGAATTTGCAAATAGTTATCCCCAACGTATCAGAATGCTCAGTCACCTTGTTATCAATTTTTACTATTTAAGTCATAACTGTATTTCGTTAGTTCCATTATTATCAACTCTTTTTTTTTTTCCACTTAAACTCCTTGTAGCAAAAAGAGAAAGATTGAATTCAAATATGTTCGCTAAGTATGAGTTTTTTTTGTTTTTTTTTTGAAACTCACGATAGCCTGAGATTATTTATTCGGGCGTTGTGTCCAGTTAAATAGGTGTGTATACATAGATATACTATTTAATATATGATTTAATGGTTATTGGGATATTTCGATTTTTCTCTTCTTTATTGTTTTTTTTTTTTTTTTTGGTCTTAAATTCGTCTTTTTATGCTTAATTTTTATTTTAATCTCATTATTTCATCAACTTTTTGGACTGATGGTGTTAAATCACACCATGAGCCCTATAAAATTATGACATGTGTCAACTTGTTTTTTCATCTAAATCTAATCCTTTCACTCATTTTTCGTCTTAATTTTTGTTTTTTTATCAAATTTAAATAAATAAATTTTAAAAAATAAAAAGGGTAAAGATTATATCCGGTCATTCTTTTTAAAACTTGAAAAAAAATGACAAAGATAAAAATATTTTTTAATCCAAAATATGTTTTATAGGTTTAAAATAAAATAACTCTAAAACACAAAGGGTATTTATTGTTCTTTTCATTGTAGTGACGGACTCAAATCTATTGTTCTTTTCACTATTCTTTCGATAGTGTTTTCTTGGATCTAAATTAATTACTTTAGAGCGATCCGATCGAACATTACTTTTTTTCGATCTTAATCATTCATCTAAAAAACCCTAACAATCTCAATCATTAAATCAAGATATATAAGTTTATTTTATCCTAACCTCATAAACCCTCCATCTTCGACCATTCTCCGACCATTCTCCTCTTCACGTAAAACTCTTGTCGTAATCGCACCCGCCACTACCATACCCCAACGTCGACGTCAGCCACCAATCACCACCACCATAACATCTTTTTATCCCAATCTCACTGAACCATCTTTCTCTATCTTCATCTTTCTACTCTCCTTTTCTTCTCTCTCTCATAAACAAACATATTCTCCTAGATAAGAACATTCCCTATTCTCCTCTTCACCTAAAATCCTTTCTACAACCGAACCACTATCACCACAACCCGATGTCGATCATCGACCACCCACACCATAGGTTGCTCCACCACTAAGCCAAAGATCAACTCCCTTACAATTCTACAAACACTCGCCACTAAAGACCAAAGTGGTGGTGGTGTTAGTATAGGTAGTGATGAGAAACTATTGGAGTAGATGGCGATGATGCTCGATAGAAATCATTTTTGTAAGAGAGGAAGTAGGTTTCTCATGGCTATCTTGGTGCTCATTTTTTTTTGAAGTAGATTCTTTTCAAAAACTAAATTACAACAAGAATAGAGCAAGGAAATATAACTTTGGATTGTAACGAGATAAGGGTTTTTGTTAGAAGCAGGTTGAGGAATTGAATAGGTCATTCTCTTTTAGGGCAAAATTTGAAGTTCTTCAATGATATTCCGAATGTGCTAATTTTCATATATATGATCTTGGCCTAGAAAAAGATTTTGATGTAGAATTGAGCTTTGGATTTGGAATGTGAAGATACTACTTTTTGTCTTTTACGCTTCATGTGGGGAGGCCAAATTATCAATAGAGCCATCAAAATTTCTCAAATTTGATACCGGTGGTTTAGTTTTGTCATTCGAAGATTTGAGGTTATTTAGTGATAATGCTTTGGATGAGCTTGAAAGTTTCAATAAGCTTAGATCATTGGATATGGAAAATGATATCCTTGAGAAAACAAAGGTAGTAGTCTTAGTTAAGTCAAAGGATAGAGAAAAATAACTCCGAGGAAAAGAGAGATCAATATTGTTTGAGGTTATTAATGTTATCCAAGAAGCTACACCTCTAGTGATATATTAGTTGAGGCTATTGATGTTATCCAGAAGCTACTCCTCTTTTGATATTTTATTTTAAAACTTGGTATTTGGATTTGTTCATGTGATAATTCTACATTTATGTTGATTCTTTTTCTTGCTTTCAAGCTTGAATGAGGGTTTTGGCTTTGAATGAAAGATGGGGATCTTTCACTTCTTATTGATGCGGTTTCTCTATTTGATAAGCAATTTTTCCGGCTATAATGGTAATTGTTTGTTGAACTTCAACAAATTATGGTTCTAGGATAAACAATGGTATTAGCTTTACATTTTTTAATAAATCCTTTCCTATTTATTTGAAAAGATCTATAATTAAAATAGCCTTTAATAATTTTCTTTACGTTTTTTTTTCTAAATAAAGAAAAAAACATGTGTCAAGTTTGTGGCTTCAATTTGTATGTTGCATGAGATCGAACATGGTTTCATGTTCTAGTGGTTTCCATTTTTTTCAAATAATTCCATGAACAAGCTATGTAACATTTTGTCCTTTAAGTGTTAAGCAAATACCGAATTGATGATGATTCATAATTGTTTTTAAAAATGTTTTAGTTTGTTTAGAATTAATATTTAAGGTTAATTGAATTAACATGATAATTAATTTTACTTCCATTTCTTAGTTTATTCATGCTAATTCCATTTACTACGTATTAAATTTTCAATTTTAGATTAGTTTGATATATTTGTGGAGTTTAAAAATTTTGTTATTTGATTATAAATCTATCAAATATTTAAGTCTTATTAACTTCATTACAAGGACTAATTTAATTTTTTTTCTCTCGATTTACACATAAACATGATACTTTAAAACTTGATTTTAGTCCATTTCCATTGTCAATAAACCTCGAAAGTATGATTTGATCTTGGTAAGAATTTTTTTTTTATATAATCTAAATTTTATTATGCTTCTTTTTTATTTCATTCTTCTGTTGCCTCAAATTGATGCGCCATTTTTACTGGCTATAGTGGTAATTGTGTGTTGAACTTTAACAAATTACAGTTCTAGGATATAAATTGGTATTAGCTCCACATTTCTGAACAAATCTATATTGATTAACCTAGGTTGTTCGAGCTATTCTACTGGTCTAGTAAAACAAAATCAATTTAAAATTTTTTATTTAATTAATTTTTTCTAATATTTTTCATAAATTTTATGCTAAAAAAA